TTGGTAAGGCATTAATCAGCACGACCAAGTCCCTCGGGGAGGATTTAAAGCCATCCGTCCCCTGGTTACATCATTTCAAGATTAAAATGCTTTCTTCACAGTCAAGTCAAATCATGGAACGTAACCTGAATATACTATGCTGTAAAATATTTTATTCCAAACTGTCGTTTTGGCTAATTGCATCCACTACGTTCACAGACTCAAATAGCGCAGGAACTATAACAGTGTGTTTAAACTGTTAATATGCTCTGCTAAATTGCTTGCCATTATTTATATAGCCTACAAGTTCATCACCTGAGTTGATGTGAAAAAAGAGATTCAAGATAACAAATATTCCATTGAATTGACTTTAAATGAATCGATATGTCGCCTTATGTGCGACGGGCTTTACATCTGATAACAAATTTCAGATCTAATTGCAATTTTTCAATGTAACTGGCATGACGCATCAGATTCTATAAATAATGGTTTAAACGGTTTTCCCTTTCAGATTCCTTGTCGACGTATACCTTCCAACTATAGAACCAGAAATGGCCCAAAACCTATCCTCTCTCACAGCTGTGTGAGTACATTTACTTTTCAAGAAATTAGTAAAGTTGTGATAATGTGTGACAGAAATAACACGCATCAGTGATGGCGCTATTAAGAATTATCCACCAAAGCCACAAGGCACCATTGGAATAGTCGAGGCAATAGTCGAAGGTACCTACAGTGGATAATTATATAATAATGTCCGAAAATGATGATGTCAATTATTTCTTTTTCTTTTACGCTTACGATCACCTGACCCCAAATTTCGCAGATGTACTGTCGATTGGCTTTAGGTTTAGACGAGTAACCGACCGGTTGTAAGAAAGTGATATAGACCGGTCATTAACCCATTCTAATGTTCGGTTACGCGTTAGGAAATGTAACTGGGAGGCCGCGTGTCCACTTCCAATCGATCAACTGATTAAGATCCAATTCATCACTTACAAAAACAATTATAACTTCACCGAGATTTTGTTGATATTTTAAAAACCGAGTGCAGGAGTTTTTAACATTTTTTTCTCACTATTATCCCGAAATAGTAATTAATTAAGCTTTGCTTCATTCTTTTAGGTCTACATCTGACAGCAGGATATGTTGTCTTGTAGGTCATACAGAGAACGTAAGCTGCGCCAGAACATCTCCTCAAAATCCCTTGGACACGTGCGGCCGACTCTATCCAAGTCTCCTACTTAGAATCTTTGGCTGGATCATAGGTGTAACTTCTCTGGTTGGGAACATTATGGTACTTGCTCTACGATTTCGTCAGGAGGAGAAAACGAGTGTTCAAACCCTCCTAATTATTAATCTAGCTATCGCGGACTGTATTATGGGCGTCTACATGCTCATCATAACATCAGCTGATGTTTTTTTCGGTGATGCCTTCTTCTTAAGTGCGCCATGGTGGCGCAATTCAACTGTCTGCAAAGTGGCGGGTGTTCTGGCGTTCCTGTCAAGTGAACTGTCTGTTCTAACACTAACATTAATCACTCTTGACCGAACGATCTGCATAGTCTTTCCTTTTGGGAAAAATCGGTTGAGTATCAAAGTGACCGGTGTACTTCTGATCCTGATGTGGGTGTTTGTTTTTGTTGTTGCTCTTGTGCCGTTTGTGCTCGACTCAGTTCTGTCTGGCGCTTATGGCCTTTCCGATGTGTGTCTTGGTTTGCCACTGCACGTAGATTCGGGAGAAACTGGCATCCTGCGATTCCTTAGAGAATCGGAAGCGGCTGAAGATTTTGTTGTCGCCTACGAGAAAGTCAGTAGTGACATTCGCCCCTCATGGATATACTCCGTTGTCATCTTCATCGCTATTAACATGGTATTGTACATGTTTATGTTGGCTTGCTATACGTCGATGTTCATACAAGTAAAGAAATCCTCTCGATCCGTTGGAAACACAGAAATGAGAGGGAGGGATATTAAGGTGGCAAGGAAAATGGCGTTTATCGTAGGAACCGATTTCGCCTGCTGGATGCCCATCATTGTTATGGGTATTCTTACCCAAACAGGACTGGTTGTCTTGCCTAGTTCTTTGTACGCTTGGACTGTGATCTTCATCTTACCAATCAACTCCTCCTTAAACCCAGTCCTTTATACTTTTCTTAATATCAAAGAAAAGAAAAAAAAGCCTGAGAAAGGTAAGTCAAAGCTTCAACCCATTTCAAAGAACCCCAAGATGACCATACCTCAAGGAAACCAGGGTAGCTCTAGTAAATCCACAAAGGATGCTTCTGCCTGAAAAAAGAATCTGAATGATTTAAGAGCAATTTGGGGCCATAAAAACATAATGCTCCATTAAAGTCACCATGCAAATTGTTGTGAATATTTAACAAATGTAAATATCACGTCGTTGGCACTAGGGTTTAAGTGAGGGTTTCGTTGAAAGTAAGATATTGACCGTGGAACACTTATTGTCTGAGGATCGTTGAACAATCATTGCGAATAGGGCAGACTTTAAGCCTCGTAAACAACACTTCTAGATTTGTAGATCTAAAATGTATATACTTTCTCGACATATTTTGGTTGCATGAACATAATTAAAAATGTTGTAACTGGTTTCTCATGATTAATCAAGCGTGCTGTTGTAGATAATGCATCAATGTAAAAGTGATTTGTGACGCACACTGTATATTATTTTTTTTTTTTAAAGTTATGGAAAACTATGATGATATTGCCGTATTCTTTTTAAACCCACGACAGCCACATCATCATTAAATTAATGCCTTCACCAATTTACTACAGAACTATCTTTATATACTATTTAAAATAAATCTTTCTTTGATAAAGAGCGTTCACATTACATTGTACATAATATTTTTGACGAATTTGTATGACCTGTTACTAAGTATCGATTATGATTACATGAGTATGTCTACAACACAATCTCAAAGAGTTTCAAATCAAGCCAAAGGCCATACCATTATAAGCTATTGTATTGCCGATCGAAATCATGTTTCGGATTATATATGACAAGTCATGTCCATAATCGCGGTAGAGGTTTACGGTACACCATGTGTAAAGTCCTAGAAGGACTAAGGAAAGTGGATAGAAAATAGAAGTGAAATAGAAAGGCGAGAAAGTGGAGGTTGGAAGGAAGAGTATCTTTCGGAAGTGAGTATAGTCCTGAAAAGGACTGTAAACCAGAAAGTTGTAGATAGGATGAGAGGTTTGAATAGAAGACTGGATTGAGTTGGAGAGTTGAGTAGAGTTGCAGAGCAGGAGCAGGAGAGTAGACTCGACGTTTCGGACAGGTTGACTGTCCGTCTTCAGGAGTGTCCGTCACTCACTCACTCCTGAAGACGGACAGTCAACCTGTCCGAAACGTCGAGTCTACTCTCCTGCTCCTGCTCTGCAACTCTACTCAACTCTCCAACTCAATCCAGTCTTCTACTCAAACCTCTCATCCTATCTACAACTTTCTGGTTTACAGTCCTTTTCAGGACTATACTCACTTCCGAAAGATACTCTTCCTTCCAACCTCCACTTTCTCGCCTTTCTATTTCACTTCTATTTTCTATCCACTTTCCTTAGTCCTTCTAGGACTTTACACATGGTGTACCGTAAACCTCTACCGCGATTATTCATACCACCATGCAAACCTTCAAACAGTCATGTCCATGTTTGCACATTTAAACAGCTGACGGACAAGGCTAGTGAAATTATTCGAAATTGAGTTCTCAAAAACTTTTGGGTTTTTGTCAGACATTAATTTTGAAGCACGAAAGAACTGAATGAAATGTATAGTTGCACCGCATGGTATGACAAACGCTTTCTTTGATTCGTTAAAAATATATTCGATATTTGATGTTCCGTTCAGTCTTGTTCTTCTGATAAATAGTGATTAAATTATCAGTCGTCACAAAAAACTCTCTATTCATCTCTACTCTTTTGTTTGTTGACTGAAACTTCTTTTGTTATATTAAGTTACGGAGTAATAGCTTAATAAGAATAGGATATAAACAGACAGAAGATAAGGAGCGATATAATGTGTACTAAATCTTTGTGAATTTTATGAAGACCTTTCGTCTTCAAACTGCATAAAGCTAATCGTGAGCTCTGGTATGGGAATTGTATGTTGAGAGAACATGGCTGTAATTGATTCGGGATTGTTTATCTTGCAGTAGGTTGTTTGAGCCAGTAAAATAAAAACAGACTCATAAAATCTTGCTGGAAATCACCTTCGATATAAAACACGCCTCTCATGTGCTCATAGTGACATGTGTAAAGCACATGGTGTCGGGCCTTATACTTGCCTCGAGCTTCTTAATTTCTATGCTCATTACTCATCCCCTATACATTTTCTACCGAAATTGTTCGGCACATGTTATTTATTTGAAATCTTGAGAATTCAGTTCTGTTGGATTCTGTGAGAACATATTTTCCATCATTACCACAACTCAAAGGGACGTTTCTCAGCGCGGATTCCTTGTAGAGGGGGGGGGGGGGGGGGGGGGGGGGCTACATATGCACATGCCTTGCCCTGTTCCGCGTCCTTTTGAAACCAGATGAAATAGTTGTAGTGCCCGTGGTAGGCCTGCATCAGTGCTGTGTCAAGTTTATTCAACATGTCCGTATTACATCAAGACTACGTCTATGACGCTCTCATTACATACTCTATATGCGTCCTCATACGATATGGAAAATAACATGTATGTGGCCGACGGATATAACAAGAGAGTTAGGGACAGAAAAGGCGAGAGAGAGAGAGAGAGAGAGAGAGAGAGGGAGAGATTTAGGGAGGGAGAGAATGAGAGACAGAGAGAGAGAGAGAGAGAGAGAGGGGAGGGGGGGGGGGGTGACATACCAACTGGAATCCTGCACATCTCTAGATTGTCCCCGTCATTGTTTAAATTTTCAAGTAAGGACTTTGATAAATTTGAATTTACTGAATTAACTGGGCACGTACGTGCGTCCTACCCCTCTGTAGTTGATGATCGGATCAAAAGACGGTTCAAGCGCGTCAACTACGCTCTGCATGGAGGGAATCCACGGTGCATTGAACATCACAGTGGAAGTGCCTACATATATATCGCAATTAAAGCAAACTTCCATTACGAGTTCACCGAATTTACTCTACATGCATGTATTTCAAGTTAATTTCCATATTTGTACTTTCTTTGAGAGCTGATCATTCCGGGTGACGAAAGATGATAGCTATTACCGACATGATGAAAGTATTGACTCTGTTTTGGATTCATTTGATGATGGGTGCAACGATCTGTTATTTTGGAAGCGGAGACGCCTCACAGACAACTGCGTGCAATGCAAACGAAGGTATGGATAATTATGGACGAAAATTGAATGATATAGTTTTTAAAAAACACGAAATAATGGAATACAGTACCTTTATTTTGATAATTTCCACAAAATTAGGACCAACACCGTACTCTCTAAAAAGAAAAAGAAAAACATTTGTAAAAGTCTACGCAAACGTAAACAAATATTCGTAGGTTGGGTTTAGGCCGCACAGAAGACACAATGTATATTGTTGAAATGTCAAATCGCGCTTGTCACCTAAACTTCCGTCCCTTTATTTTCAGTTTTGTGTGTGAGAGAGAAAACATAATAGCAAAACCTTCTCTTTGAACCAAAATTGTATGTGCAAAGATTTGTTAGAACTTGTTCATAATACCTCTTTCACAAACACGGATTTTCTTATGAGTCCTTACGGATCGCTAACTCGTAGTCAATCGCAAGAATCCGTAAATAACTCGCTGGTATCCGTAAATAACTCGTCACAACTCGCAACAACTCGCAGATACTTTTAAGGATCCGTGAAAGGGGAGGCAATTTTTTTGACATGTCAAAAATCTTCTTACGATTAGTGACTCGCAACAAATTTTGTAAACGATTTGTAACGGTTAGTTTACGATTTGTTAACGGATTATTACAAGTGCTTACGTGTTGTTTACGATTTCATTCGGGTCGTGTCACGATGGCTCTACGGATTGTTACGGGTTATTACGCGCTCTTTAGGTGTAGTTACGAGTACTTTACTAATAGATACTTATACTTTACGTTTTCTTACAAATTGTTTACGATATGGGGAAAGGTATTAAAGCTGCAAATGCGAACACTTCAATTTCAGTTGTTATTTTTGGGCTATATATATCGTAAGGACTCGTGAATACTTGTAACTAAATCGTTACTATTCGTAACAACACGTAAACAGGTCATACATGTAAGTAACACGTTAGTTGCTCGTAGTTATTCGTGACAACTCGTAACATATCGTGGAATTCGCCGTAAGTGCCGTAATGTAATAACTCGTAACAATCCCTAATAAACCGTAAATAGCACGTAATAACTCGTAACAACTCTTAAATCGATCGTAAAAGTGGCGAAATCGTAAGGATCCGTGAAAGATCCGTGAATTTGTGCGATCCGTAAGGACTCGTAAGAAAAATTCGTGTACACTGCATGTGAAGGGGTTATAAAGCAAACTACATCATTGCGGTTTTTAATTACGTTTGTGGTTGCTAACAATCTTTTGTAGGAATGCATGCATGAACTACTTTTAAACACAGTCACCTGTTGCATGATTTTGTTGGGCAAACGGCACAGAAAGAATTTACACTGTGTGAGGAAAAAGTAGTAGAGCGAAGAGCAGCCTAATGCGAGGACAAAAGATTAACTGCCATTAGCACAAAACAGTTCATTTCAGGTATTTATTTTTTACTAAAAAGAACGTTGGTATGCAATTCAATGTCAAAGCGAAGAACAGCCTAATGCGAGGACAACAGATTAACTGCCATTAGCACAAAACAGTTCATTCCATATTCTTTTTTTAGGGGTGGGGGGGGGGGGGGGGGGGTGGGGCATTTTATCATTGAAACATATTTCTAGATATCAAGAATTCTATTCTTGATATCACGAAATCGAATTCCTGATATCACGAAATTGAATTTTTGATATCAAGAATTACCATTGCTTTACAACATAAAATTATTTCTTGATAACAAGAATTGATTTATTGATATCAACTAATAATAAAACGGCTTGCCATAAGATCGCGCCAGCTCGCCACAACTCGAGGTTACAACTCGGCTAAGTGGGAGCCCTGCTTAATACATTAATCTACATTTGCCACACTCGACCCAAGTGAAGTAAATGGCAGGAATTAATTCCTTGAAATTGAAATTGAAATTGAAATGATAGAGCGCCATAATGGCAGCCATGCTAAAGCCGGGTAATAATTTCGGAGCGCCAGGAGTGTCAAGTCTGACGGATATGAGCGCTATACGAGAACCCACTTTTATTATTACAAATCAATCCAAATACAAATCATATCTTTTAATATCATTAAAATGATAATAATCATTGAAATGATAATTGTAAATCAAATACATGATACGAGACAAAAATACATGAGAGAGAAAACCGGTGATTGACAACATTAGTGAAGGGTTCTGATGTTCAAGCGGTAGTTTTTGTCATGAGTCAACCGTGTAACAATATTGATATCAGCCTCTTATCTTACAAAAAGGCCTTTATAATTCAATCATCATGGACAGAGCGAGTATGAATAGTTCTTAAATTTCAAAGATAGATGGTTAGTTCAGTCACTTCCATTAGCACTTAGTGATCAATTCCAACTTTTGCGTGGGCATTAGAAAATCCTTAATATTCGATGTAATTGTCATAATAGCATCATCATGTCCATTGATTGCCCGGCCACAGATCAAGCCTTCAAACAAATTACCACCGCTTAAAAGACCTTGAAAAAAAAAACACGTATTATTATGTTATAAAACGCCTGAGTTCGATGCATGCGAAGTTTGTATCAACGCCACTTAAAGTTTGTCCCATTTCTGTACAGGCATCAACCAATTTCATTCATTTCATTCAATAATAATAATAATATTTATTTGCCTGGTATAGTTTCATGATATATATCCTGTTAAAGGTAATATGTCCCATTTGCAGGCCAAAAACATGAAAAGGTTCAATTCCAATGGCATTTGAAAGATAATACTAATTTAGAACTTCCCTAAAATGAAAGGGCTTGAAAATGGCTTTTAGTGGGAAAATAACGACCATTAGATGTCGTATCGACTAAAGTAATAGTCCGATTTTCAGACCCTTTTACCGAAGGGTCGTACGTTTTGTGCTGCACAAAGATTTAATCAGTTTAATTTTGGCCATTACAAGTAGTGGGTTATTAATGCAAACGAATGCTCATGTACCTGTTACAGCTCATTTTATGTATGTATACATAACTATCTTGATCTAAGGAGACACGAACGAGCGAACCAAAGAAAAAAGATGTCAGTCAGTTACTCAATAGGGTCTGACAGTGAAGTTTAGAAGGTAACGGGTTTCCTTGCATAAGTTGAAATTTTAAATTTCACAGATAGGACATACAGTACATAACATATTTATAATTCCTGCAGAGTTCTACAGAATTGGATGTTGGCTGCAAAAGGGACATAGTATTTTTTAAAGTACTCAGATGTATATCTTCATAGTTATGTAGAGGTGTTGTGGATAAGTCGTTGGACTGTGCATCACAGGGTCCGCGGTTCGAGTCCCCCCACGGCACTAATGTCATTTGGCAAGACATTAATCTACATTTGCCACTCTCCACCCAGGTGTTAAATGGGTACCGGTAGGAAGGTATTCCTTGAATGCTGTGAGCGCCGAAATTGGTTGTCTAGCAGAGCCGGGGTAATAGTTGGAGCGCCTTGAGCACCATGCATGGTGGATATATGCGCTACATGAATATCCAATATTATTATTTTTATTATAGTTATGAACTTTGAAACCCGCCCCCCCCCCCCCAATCAGTGCTATTAGGGTACGCATATGCATGTTCCCTCCTTTTGAAAACAACCCCCTAAGTCCGATGTGTAAAGCCAATACGGGCCGGATTTTTGTGTACTACGAGCCGGAGTATGGTGCGTGAAAAGTACCCCCTTATCGGACATTTTGGGAACACGCATGGTATCCCTCCGTTTATGGAGCGGGGGGGGGGGGGCTTTGAAATTACGGGATATCAGACTATGAGGTGAATATAGAAGAATGAATGCAGTCGTGTATAATGGTGCATTTTGAAGTAAACAAGCAGTCACCGACCCCTCCCATTATACAATTTTGCAGACAAAAAAATGTTCCGTCATTGATGTTAGTGACAGCTACTTGCAATTATGTAATTTGTCAAAAGCTAAGTTTCAATCCGGGAAATGTAGATCGATTCACGACTATTAACATCTAACTGCGGCATCATACTTATGTATCGAATTAGGAACAAAAGACTGTCTGAAACGTGCATGACAAGTGTGTGTGTGTGTGTGGGGGGGGGGGGGGAATAAACGTATTCCTGAACGATTGAACTTAAAGCAATCATCGAGTGGGTTGGTACTGTCTGCTATTATGTTACGGGGACTACTAACGAGCTTATTAACTTCTGTGCAATTTTCTGGATGCAATCAAATCTCCCCTTTGTTCCTTTGACAGACTACCAAATGCGTAAATGAGATCGAATGCTAACACGCTCTGATTGGTAAAAAATGGTAAAAATAGGGTCAGGATTATGTTATTAACATGTTTTCAATATGCATTTTAGATACATGTACCATGATGCGTGGCCATAGAAATATATATTATTTTAAGATGATGACGTGGACCCTAATCAAATGATTGGTACAAGGGTACATGTGACCAGTCATTTATTTGCCTAACGCGTAATTTGGATAATGACCGGTCATTATCAAAATCTTGTTATAAAACATCATTTTATAAAAAATAAAAAAACATAATTTTATAAAACAAATAATACACATCATTTTGTTCGAGCATTAGTGTAATTACCCACACTCGGTACCTTCAAAACAGTCCAAACGCTATCGCCTCGGGCGTGTAAGACTGTTCCAAAGGTACCTAATGTGGGTAATTCTTACTAATGCCATCACTGCTGTGTATTATTTGAAGTTTATAAAATCGCATGACTGGAAACAAATGTAGAAAAAAACGAATCACGATGGATTTGATCTGGCTACTGACTGTAGAGATGTCTCGGTTCGAGTCCTGTTGAGGCTACAATGTCATTTGGCAAAACCTGAATTTCAACTTCCCACACTCAGGTGATGTAAATGAGTATCTGGTAGGAAGAAATTCCTCGAATACCACAGTGCCTCATCAGGGTGGCTCGGCTAATGCCGCGGTATTAATAGTACAGCGCCTATAAATATTAGTATTTAGTGCTGTATAAATGTTACTCATATTATTATTATTGCCATTAAGATTCACATAATTATCTTGACCAACTTACTAAAGGAAGGTTTCTCATTGATATTATTTGTGATCCCAACTTCTTTTTTTTTAATGTTAACAATATGGTCGATTTTTAACTTCATAAATCTATTTTTATCATTTTCATATTTGTACTAAGTCCAAATTTCTATGGATGGGTGATTCCCTTTTTTACTGTTATTCCTGCAAAATAATTGTTGTCTCTCAAATGCGATATGGTTGAAAGCGCTCCGAGGCTATGATTTAACGTGTAACTTTTCAATAGCAAGCATGTGAATAATTCTTCTTTGTGGTGAATATTATTTGAGGCATAATGAGATGTTTGACCTTGCGGCTGAGGGGGTATAAATGACTTGATACCACCAGCAGCAGATTCGATGTCAGCCCTGCAGGCTATTAAAAATAAAAGTAGTATAATTATAAAAATATCGGAGAAATTGATACAATTAAGCGCTCTTGGTATAGACATACAGTTTGAGTGGATACCTGCACATTGTGGACTACAAGGAAACGAAAGAGCCGACAGTTCAGCTAAACAAGCGATTAAAAAAGATCATTGAGATGTAACTGTACTATGGAATAGATTTAAATTAACTAATCACACGCGTTATTTTTATCAGCAATCATGGCAAAATCAGTGGGACTCAATTATAGATAAAGAAGATTCCTATTCGAGATCCATCCATAAAATTATATCGAGACTTATTAACTTGGATTTTGTAGGAAAGATGAAAGATTATTAAATAAGATGAGAATGGGAAATGCTACTTAAACTTTTAAAAGTTTAGTATTAATAAACATAAAAAATGACCTTTGTGACTTTGTCATGAAACTAAAACAATTAAACATTATTAAATGATCTGTAAGAAAAATATACGAGAGAGGTTAAAATTAAAATAAATGAGTTTATTACAAATAATTCATTGGGAAACAAATTTCATCTCACGCTCTGCTTGCTTTTATAAAAGCCACAGATAGATATCAATAATTGTAGCTGGTAAGGTATAACCAACTTTTCCAAGGTGATGTTAAGAGCAAATTGTATTTTTTTTGAATGATTAGTCCTATATGCCAATTTGAAAAAATATATATTATTTCAATGTCTCTCTCTCTCTCTCGGAGAGGAAGGAAGGAAAAAGTTTAGTTTAGCACTGCACAGTGAACCTTTATTAATGCTCTCACCCGGTTCACGGTCGAAACCTAAATTATTGCCCCCCCCCCCCCCTCCCCCACCATCGATTGAACAGTCACAACCAACGAAAGGAAGCTGTGAAACTCAGTGGCGACCATGCGAAGAGAAATATTGAAGACAAATTAAACACTGAAATGACTGAATCAATATTTAAGCCAGAGAAAAAAACGGCGCTATGTAATTATCATTCATGAATAACTCGAAGAACAGTAAAGCCAGGCAGCAACAATCTTTTAAGATTGGAGAGCCTTAAAACCCAACAGTAACAACGACAACAAGCTATGCATTCGAGATGACTCCAATATTTTGGCCTGCATGAGGGCCGTTTGAATTGTATATATATGATGATATGGCTGGTTACAAAATTCCCCCAACCGAATTTCAGTCTCAATCTGCCTTTGGTTGCAACTTTAATCTCGATTTGTGTATTTAAAATTAATTTGATCCTCGGACATTTTTGGAAATGTTTCCACACATTTAATGGCTCATTGACTTTATTATTGGACTTTGGAGGTGGCTGTTTACTTGTAACGTTAGGATATACTATTTAACCTAGTACTAATGATGATATTATTACGATTATTATTTCTTTGCCTATCATAATGTTCTTTGAAATAACTGTTTTGATATTACGTATCATTAAGGTGTTAAAGCTTATACAGTGTGAGTCAAAAAAAGGTTTACACCTGGAAAATGTCTAATTATTTAATAAATCATCTATGAACAGTACATTATTATACATCTAATGAAATAGTGTTTTATCCCAAATCAATTGGTATCATTTTTGTGTGGTATGTGTTCACACTTGGTTGAACAGGAGGCATTGTTTGCGAGAGTGCAAAAATCGACTTGCGCCAAAGTTGCTTATGTGATGTTTAAATAAAACAATTTGGATTTGGATATTGAATAGGTTTTGGCAGATCAAAATAACATCCCTAACAAAATTGATTATGCCACACATATCATATCAACGAACATTTGTGCGCGCGTGTGTGTGTGTGACTTTGCTTCTGCAAAAAGCATATGAAATGTATTTCATTTGATACATTCAATTTATTCTCTCATTCCGCTAATCCCAACATACTGCTGTAGGTATCTCTTTGGCGGAAGTCAATTTCTGCACTCTCGCAAACAATGCCTCCTGTTCACCCAAGCGTGAACACATACCACACAAAAATGATAACACTCTTTTATAAGATGTATAATAATTTATTGTTTATAGATAATTTTTAAAATAATTAGCAATTTTCTAGGTGTAAACTTTTTTGACTCACACGATAGTGTAGGTCTTTCCTCTTTTATAAAATAAATTCTGTTATTTCCCCCTATTTTGAGGGAGGGGGGGGGGAGGTCTACATAAAAGTAATTTAATTAGGATAATGACCATGTAGAATGTATTTTTGATGAAAGCTGATGCATTTCCCGTTCCTTTGGGGTAATTAGTTTGTCGCCTAATAGGTCCCTGTTGTATTGACAGCTCTAGCTTCAACGCTTGAATGCTTCATTCATATTCATGGTCACGAATGGGGAGACATTCGCAAACAACAAATATCAATTCTATTTCTCCTCGAATCGCCTTCCTACTCTAAGTATTCATCACTTACTTCTGTGTTGTTGTTTTTGTAAATATTTGGTATACTATAGCATAACACGTAATACGTATTAATATACCCGAATATGATTCAGTTTGGGTTCATTATTTATACACAGTTAAAAGCGTGCCATCAGCTGTGACCTGTTTTCGGCAAGGTCTTGATGTACATAAAATTTATATCAATACAAAATAACAATAAACTACATTGCATAGAAATGTAGAACAGACAATGAAGTATAAACTTCAACAAGTATAGACGTCATAAAGAAATAAAATGGTAAAAGGATGAGAATTACGACGATAACAAGAGTTTAATATACAAATTAAACATATAAAACGGCTGAAGCTACGGATAAAAAAGTTTTCTTCATCTCTTCATACGGCAATGAAAAGAGAAACAAAGAGGAAGAAAGAAAATATCGAGGAAGACGATGTAATTACTATGGGGATCAATAAGAAGCAAAAATATGAAACGAGTGTAGCTTGTCTCAATCCGATATGTATACGTCAAACTAAATTACTTCTTGTATAATGAACTTGATACTTCTTCAGACTAAAAAACTACTTACATAATGAAAAATGAAAAAAAGAATTCACAATATTTAGTATCAGAGAGTAAGTAAACCCGTTTTTAGATATATGACAATGCAGGCGAGAAAAAAACTAATTTGAGAAAAGTATTTTCATTAGAAATGCGATTACCACATTTACCACAGGTCAAGCTTTCTCTTGCCATTGGTTTGAGTAACGAATAATATTACACCATTCATCCTTGTAAATGAGCCTCCATCAACAACTAGTCCATCAAGTCGTCTTTAGATTACAAGATATATAGGTCAGTTATTAAGAATGAATAACCATTGACAAGTATTATAAAACAACTCGAAAACTGTCAATCAGCCAAGAATCCAGAGCCTCACAAAATTCCAAATTTGAAAAATGGAAAACACGAATGAGATTTATCTCAATAAGATCATAATAGAAATGAAAAGGTCCATCGAGTCGTCTTGATTACTAGATAAAACGGTCAGTTTCGAATGAATAACTATTTACAATTATTATACAATTACTAGAACTGTCAATCAGTCAACAAATCCAGAGCCTCAGAGAATTACCTATTTGAATAAAATGAAAACATATTGACAAGATTTATCTAAAAAAGACTACCGTTTCTAAAAATAAACTCTTCATACTCTGAGGACGACTCGCAACGAAGACGAAATTGGCAGAAAATGGCAAATTTGCCTTAAAATGACAGCTCTATAGGCAAAAAATGTAATTAGGTATTTTCCTTTTATTGGTTATCTAGATTTATTTAAAAAAATGGATTGACATTTTAAGAAACCACTAACAATGTAAAATGTCCATTGACATGATTGAATGGAACTTATAGTAATAATTCTAGATATTGTTAAAGGGCAATCCAACCCTTGTAATTAGTTTATTTGTCTGAAATAAGAGAAACAGAACGAGGAAGGTTGAAAAAACTCGGACCAGAAAAAAGAAAGTTATAAATGTTTGAAATATGAGCTCTTTTATTGATCTTCTTTGCGAATTTCGAACTGGCAATATGGACAGTGGATTGTTACGTAGGCATGGACAACTTTCATGTTTGTCAAGAACAATTACATTAAGTTATGTTATTCTACGTAGTACCTTTTCCCTTAGGGCACTACTCAAAAGAGATATTGAACATACATGTATTAGTATAATATAGGCAATTTAAAGAGAAAAGACACTCCTGAATCATACATTTCGAAAATAAACTTTATTTATTTTATGCGTTCGAAAAAATAGGGAACCTGTCCAGCGCTACCTCACAGTGGCATTACCTGTTCAGCCAATGTGAATTTGCCATACGTGCATGATTACAACTTTCAAAATGTATAACTTTCTCATTTTTTTCGGATTTTGTACAAATTATTATCAGTTTGCTTCTCTGAATTGTTCTGCTTCCCTTTAGAGTAGTTTGTTACGAAGGTTTGATTTTCCTTTAATGTCATTGGATACGTGAGACTATGTTTCAACCCGAGAGGCTTGTCTTTATTCTTTTCACAGATAGGATCGTGCGTTTAGCAACCGGCACGAATTCGTCTGAAGGGAATGTACAAGTTTGTGTAAACGGGACCCGGGGACATGTTTGCGGTGCATCATGGGACATTGCTGATGCCAATGTCGTCTGCTTGAGTCTTGGTTTTACCAGGGCGATTCGATCATTCAGCGAAGTATCAACTGAGTTCAGCAACGACGAGATAGTTCTCTATAACGTGGATTGCAGAGGGGATGAATCAAGTCTGTTTGATTGCCCGCATGATGTGAATCTCACAGGGAACTGCCACTTGGGAGGGACGGCTGGAATAGAGTGTTCAAACGACCTTGGTAAATTGAGCTTCACTCTTCCCTAATGCGAATGCAAAGTTTATAGACATTTAAGTGCTTCCCTCTGTAATATATGCTACAAAAAAATTGAACACAACATATTTGAAACGATAACAAATGATTAATATTAGTGATTACGTTAGGATGATTACATTTGTGAAAAGACAAATTTAGAGTTTTACTTTTTGCTACTTGCATTAATTGATGCGTTGTTCCCTTTCTTGCAAACAAAAAACTGAAGTAGAAAAAGTCGACTTGATATCTGAAATTTAAACCGAACTAATGTTTTCCATGACTTTAGATTTCCCCTTACTTGAATATCACTTCATCTATCTTGGGTGAAGGCAAATACCTATTACGAGGTGGTTAAAGTTTATTAAGTGGTTCTCTAGGGCAGTTTAAGTAAGGAAGTATAAACACATTCATCATTATCTTACGGACGAATCCTCGTCAGCTATCAGACGAGATTTTCTACCATGGCAACTGAACAATGTGCGTGATTTACCAGGGGTCTCTGTCTGGTTCAGCATGCATCTGCTTATACACTGTAAAAATGGTTGCCCAACATGAGGATAATTATATGTCCGACTAAAACTGGGGTAAGTTTCGTTAATGTATCTCAATTGTCAACATTCAAATTGCATACATTATTTGTTGCTTGGCAGGCCATATATTATTCATGCCCTACCTAACAGCACGTAATGTATGACATTTTAAATTCAACTTTGGAACTGGGGTAATTTTCGTTGATGTATCTCAATTGTCAACATTCAAATTGCATACATTATTTGTTGCTTGGCAGGCCATATAGGCATGCCCTACCTAACAGCACGTAATGTATGACATTTTAAATTCAACTTTGGAAATAAAATTATGCGTGAACAGGTGAATTAGATAATTAGTATCGAGGCACTTAAGTACAAATTTGTGTACTTTACGAAAGTGGCCTATTGTTTACCCAATTTAGGTAATGTTTTGCACAATCACTATCGTCCTTTACTACATACATGTGGAGGTGTCGTGGTCGAGTGGATACGTCGACGGACTGTCGATCTTAAGGTCCGCGGTTCGTGTCCCGCCGCGGCACTAATGTCCTTTGGCAAGACATTGATCTACATTTGCCACACTCAACCCAGGTAATGTAAATGGGTACCTGGCAGAAATTAATTCCTTGGAATGCTAGAGCGCCGCAGTGGCTGCCTTGCTAAAGCCAGGGTAATAATCGGGGCAGCGCCAGGAGCGTCACAACGTGACGGACATGTGCGCCATATAAGAAGCCACCATTATTATTATTATTATTATTATTACATACCGACAAATATCACAAAAGTTGGGCCCGTTATTGCCTCCAAAAGGTTGGTCAGACACATTATTACCCTCATGTTTAGCATTTCTTCAACCCAACAGTTTTATACATAGTGGGTGTGTGTGGGTGTATATTTATAACGTTGTTTTAAAATGACATCTATACATAACCCTACATACTGTAGTTTATTAACCGGACATCATAAAATCTGGTATATTACCCTAACCCTAAATTCAAAATAATATAACTAATTAAACTAAGGACTAATGATTAGAACCTCGTGTTTCTTGGGAGGGCTTTGAGTTTCCTCTGCCTGCAAACGTACGTAGAGGGCATTAATTATATTGTTCAATCATTATTAACAGGACACGAAAATCTCCTGCTAATGACCATGTCTACGTTCACGACTCTTTTATTCACTACATACGTCCGTATTATGACGTTGTAAGATGTATACGTGATTATACATGTATATGCGGCCTGCCCCCAATGAAGGAATCAATTAATGAAAGTTGAAGATTTTTTTAAACTGTCAGTGAAAGAAATCTGGTCTGGCCGAAACAATTGATCCGTCTCCTTAGTCTAGTGCTTAAGACTCTGGTCAGTGAGCCAGGAAACGAGGTCCGATTCCCTGGCGGGCGAAACAAAATATAACCGACATGGCATACAATATGAGTCCTTAACAATCATGTTAGTACAAAATTACTAAAATAGACATTTCTATTACACTTTTTGGTGGTATATTTAGTCCATAAAATGGACATTATAACGTCATTCGTATAGTTGTGAAATGCAAATAAGACTATGAATAGTAATTGAGTTATTATATATCCTTGTATCGTACTTAAATATATTTACGAATCTGTCATTTTGTGTGTATGTTTGCAGAATATAGTGTCTGTGTTCCAGGCTTGTGTCATGGAGACTTAGAAATGAAAGGTAAGAGTTATGTACCCACCTTTCAATCAAAGTTCTAATTCATCGGACGGTGTTCTTTTGATATTATTTGAAATATCCATGATCAAATGCACTTCCAAGGAGTTATTATAAAATTAATTAAAAAAAACTCCTTTGTAATACACAAATTTTGAAATGCGCCTGCAAGTACAAATTGACGATGTCTGGACCCAAACTGAATCAAGTTTTTTTAAGGTGACGTCAAAGGTACTATGTCCCATTTGCAGGCCCCAAAAGTTAAATTCCAATGGCATTTGAAAGATAATACTAATTTAGAACTTCCCTAAACAAAAAAAGGGGGGGGGGGGCTTGAAAATGTCTTTAAGCGGGAAAATAACTCTTATTATTTGTCGAATCGACTTAAGAGCTATAGAGCCAGTAAGTAATAGTCTGAATTTCAGACCATTATACCGAATGGTTGTACGTTTTAGGCTGCGCAACGATTCAATCAGTCTAATTTTTGCCATTACAAGAAGTGGGTTATTGATGTAGACAAATGCTCATGTACCCTTTACAGCTCATTTTATGTTTGTTATTACCAAAGAAGACAAAAGCCAGTCAGTCACTCAATAGTGTCTGACATTGAAGTCTAGCAAGTAAACGTGTTTCCTTGCATAATTTGAATATTAGGACACTGCTAACGTTTAAATTTCACAGATAGGACATACATGACATATGCCTGCAACCTTCTACAGAATTTGATGTTGGCTGCAAAAGGGACATAATACCTTTAAAATACGTATTACGTTTTATGCGGAATTATTTTTTAAAACAAAATGACCATAAAGAAGAGAGCGATGGGTCGATCCAAGACGTAGATAATTGCGTCTGATTCATACATGTTTTTCAGAACCCAAATACATGCGAGGACAAACTTTTTCCCCCTTATTTTTCAATAGTTTTTTTTGTTATTGATTCCAAACAATACAAATTAATTTTTAGAAATTCCCCCAAAATTTCCCCTTCCCTAAAACACGCACGTGCACGCGAACCCTAGCCACACACACGATGCGCACCCTCCCCCTTACTCACACACCCATGGTGTAGAGTTACTTTGAAAATATTCTTACAATCACATTTAATGTAGATATATGTTACAAATGATATCGTATATATTTATTGAAATATTAGATAGCTTAGACAGATACCGAGATATGATTGGTCCAGAGCTCGTCACGTGATATAGATTGCGAGGATCGCAATTGTTATATTTTCCTGGCCGGTCACTTTCGATGGTTATACTGCCCAGCTGGTGAAATGAATATATTTTTAATCAATGCATGTCGCCCTCTTGAGGAATATATGCCACCAATTACACAAAATATAACCACATGGAAAATATAACTCCTTTCAGCGGTCCAAAGAATATATCACACCCCTACCAGTCAATATCTGTATAATATTTCAACATTCCTTTCAACAGATTCCTTTTGTGAACCACTGACAGAAGGATGTTTTATTTTGCCATGGAATGGTAAGATTGGGCAAGTAACCTGGGTTTTGTCATTATAGAAACATTGGTCGTACTAAGTAGATTTCACGCGATGGGGCAATGTGAACAAATTCGGGGTCGGGGGGGGGGGGTGCTGAGTGGAAGGAGTCGTAGCATTGTTAAAATACCGTTTTATATTCTGTTTTCTCAATATATTTTTTAATATCTTTGTTAAGTACCCATCATTATTTCAATTATGAACGTGGATATAGGCTTATTATATCTTTATCTATATTTGAGTTCTGTCAAATTTTTCTTTATGAACGTATTATCCATAATTGATAAATCAGTGAAACTCCTTTTTTGAAGTCTTCCTATTTCAGTCCATCTCTTTAATCTTTCATATGAGATGATAATCTTTGAGTTTATTTACATGTACATGAAGCGCACAAAGAGAGAACACTTTTAAACTCACTAACGTTATAACCTGCGATTGGATTTCGATGATTCGAAATACATGTATTGTATCCCTCCCTTTCAGATCAGCTACACTGCTTTAACAACGACCTGGAATTGTTCTATTTAAAGTGCTTGTAAGTATCCTGACATAATATATGTTTCGAAACGTTGCCGTTATAAATTCGTTTGCGAAATTAGACGACTTCAAAAGAAAAAAAAATTGAAGCTAAAAGCGTAAAATGCATCAGATTTATGTAACACACATTTGGTCTATCAGGCACAGTACCTACAGTCAGGCGCGGATCCAGGATTTCTTAGGGGAGGGGGCCCAACTTCTTTTTTTTTTTGCTCCCGAAATTTTGAAAATCGAGCCGGCCGAAAAGTCGCTTAGTGGGGGGGGGGGGGGGGGGGGGGTACAGAGCACAATTTTTTTTTTTTTTTTTTTTTTTTTGCACCCCCCCTTGAGCGCCAGGGGGGGGGGGCCCAACCCCCAAAAAAGGTAAAAATCACGTGATTTTACATGATTTTTTTCTCAAGGGGGGGGGGGGGGCCCGGGCCCCCCGGGGGCCCCCCCCCCCCCTGGATCCGCCACTGCCTACAGTTTGTTTTTTGTGTCATTAACGTTTATATAATGCTGGTAAATAAAAGAGTTTGTTGAAGAAAACAGTCAGTAGGAGAAAATAACCAAAGTATCCAAAGGAAACTCATCAAACACAAATGCAAATCATATATTGCAGAATTTTTGTAGTAGTAGACCCGAAGTGTGCGATAGTTTCATTATGTTGTGACGGTTGTGGTGGTTTAAGATGCCTGCAGAGCCATAGATTTGTTTTGGTCCTTCTTTAAATAGTTGTCTATATCAAGGTAATTCCCCTCCCCCCAAAAAGCTATGCAATTAAAATGGAAATGCACGAAGAGTTTTCACAATCGTCATTTAAGAGAAAAAAGCCTATCAAAACTCTATAGTCATACTAACTTAGGTCATATAATATTATACTACATAAAATTACATTACATATATATTTTATTATACAATATATTTGTAATCTGTTTTGACCTTGAATCAGGAGTTGGGAAGAACTCGGTTCATCATATAGTTCTGAAGGAATAAAAGGTGAAGAGCGAGTTGAGCTGATGTGAGTATTCTTGTTCTGTAGCCTAAATAATAAATATCCAGATATCTTAAATAGTGTCAAGTGGGTAAACGTGCAACAAGTGTATCACCACATAAAATTGATGATATCAGTTGACATTCTCAGCCTTCCTTCATAAAATTGCTAAGGTTTTAAAGTCATACATTCTATCATAAAGAAATACTAAGGAAGACATGTTGAGAAAAAAACACCTATTGAAGGTGCCTAGAAATCTCGCGGTAACGGCTCTCCGTCTGTTTTAAGAAGAGTTAGGATAACCTCCACAACAAATGACTCATATTAGTTCCCTCAAAATACAAAACACTCCACCGTCAACGTTATTTCATGTGTTTATGTCTATTCTTTACCGAACTTGAATTATTAAACAGAGACCGTTTGTAATATCCACATAGCCTAATCATCAAACCGTCACGCACCAGAATGTTTAGGTTTTAATCTAGATCTACGGCCTATGGATTAGGATACCTTTATCTTACTATTAAAAACACATGAAATTACAAATAAATTTCAATTTAAAGCGTTTTCTTACCTTTGGTGAATTCCTCCAATATAAAAATAACATTCCAAATGCCTCTTTTGGAAGCCTTCTGGTACTTTGCTTATTACAATTAATACTCTATTATCATATATATATTTTTGACTACTTTGCATGCCTGCTCTTTTAAATCTTGATCAGGATGATGCCTACATGTACATTGCCAGTTATACTCAAATATCATTGAATAATATTATTATATTTATATTCTTGAATGGCTATGAACATAAAATCTATAGTATAAACAGTACATAAATACAGTAAAGAAATTGCCATCAAGTTGATTTTTCGAAAAAAGTTGCGATCGTGTTATAAAATTATTTCAAAGAAGTTGATTAATTACCTCAGAATCAAGTACGTTTTATATGCACCAACGTAGCCTCTAAAAGAAAACACAGATGGAATGAATATTCAACCAAATATACGCATATACATAACAGTTCATTACAATTTCTTTTTATTTAAATAATTCATTATCATAAAGAATTCAACCATTGTTACCTTCAATTATTTCTCCCTGCCTAGTGACTTCAGTGATGGTGCCGGCCTCCTTTTGATTGAAAGAGGTTTTTTCAGAGGATTTGAAAACTTGCTTTTTCTGTAAGTTGTCACTCTTTAGATTATTCTCATTTTTTGTGTACATTTAAAAAAAATGATTTTATACGAGATGAAAACAAAAAACTCCAATAGACATTAATGTCATTTGGCGTGTGTGTGTGTGTGTGTGTATTGGGTTTTTACAGACGTATATCAATCAGATATGATTATTTACAACTGGGGACCCACCTTTAAACGTCACGATCCGAAAGACGTGACTCAGTTTCGAACTTGCGTCCTCGGCTGAATCAGTTTGAAACTTTCACTGTTAACTGGATTACAGGCGCACGCCACAACACCTAGTTATTAATCTATACTTGTACTCTAATTGGGTAGGAAGAAATTCCTTTAATGCTTTATAACCTTTTGATGGCGGCTACAGCCGGGGTATGATAAGTGCAGTAGAGTTGTATGGTAGGTGCCCTTTATCAATGGTCATATTAGTTTTGTTTACAAAGAAAAATGTGTTAATAAATGTTCCTTTAAAATTGTAGTTATCTAATGATAAGCTTAGTTGATCTGAATTTGATGTGTATCCACTAACGTAAGTTTTCCATTAGAATGTTGATATTAAGCATGAATCTTAATCCACGCTTAATCAATAATTAAGATTTATATCATGACAGTACTAACATATTTCTTGTTGATGTAATGATACATTTGATTTATCACGTATTTTGTTGTGTGTTTCATGAATGGATCTACTTTTGGTACAGCTATCTGGATGGCACCAACATTACAGAAATTCAGAGAGGAACTTTCGAGGGGTTATCATCTTTACGAATTTTGTGAGTTCATAATTTTTGTTTATAATACGAAAAGAATATTGGCTATGAGATAATAATTGGTCGTTATACAATTGTTCCTCATCAAAGGAATGTATTTTATATTTGTTATAAACTCATTATCTTGATTTCGACGATGATTTCAGCCGATGGACAGCGAGAACGATAAACTACTGTGCATTTAATTATTTGCCCTCTAATTCTATTCCCTTTACAACTTCAAAGCGGAATTCTGTCTTTATAAAACTCAGATTTTATAATTTTATCGAGGATATTTTTTATAAATATAATCATTGTTGATGATCATAACTTTCAATATAGTGACAAAATTCGAGCAGATTAAGCAAATTAATTCGTATCTTATATGCGATTAATAATGCAATTCCGTTATCAAAATGTTAAGCAGCCTCTATTTTTCTCCCAATTGAACAGAAATTTATCATCAAATAGCATTTACCATTTATCTCATGGGGTCTTCGATGGACTTGAAAGCCTGAGAATGTTGTAAGTTTGAATTAAGAACAAATGCTAGACCCATCGTTGTCATATATTTTTCAAAGACTAATTAATTGATACACATTTAATGTTAGCGAATATTGAAGGTGGAGAGAAGATGTGAGACAGAGAGAGAGAGGGAGAAAGAGAGAGAGAGAGAGACAGAGGGAGAAAGATAAAGAGATAGAGAGACAGAGGCAGAGAGAGAAAGAGAGCGAGAGAGATACAGAGAAAGAGTGAGAATGAGAAAGAAATAAATAGAGAGGGAGAGAGAGAAAGAAAGAGAGGGGGGGGGGGAGATTACACTACATCATGATATAACAATCCTACTCGATATCGTGTAATGGCAAATTGCAGGAGTGAAAGTTACTGAGGTGGGGATTAAGTTAAAATATACGACATATAATAATTTCCGATAGAAATGTAACGTTAATATTAGATGAACCGAAATATTTGTTTATTTAATTATTGATCTATCTTTCTTCTTTTTTGAGATAGGGCTAAGCTATCAAGTGATTAAAACATCATTGTACATTACTCTAAAATTAGGGTCTTGCAAGATTGTGAAAATATAATATTTGATTCTACATATCAAATGGTACTGCGTAATACTGTATATCACCTATCCCACTTATTATACATATGGAATCATTATAGTAATTTTATTTTGTTAATCAAAACAAAAAAATCATTTTAATTTCAGGGACTTGAGCTACAATCCATTAGTTCATATGGACGAAAAATCATTTGCCAACTTATGGAACCTTGAATATCTGTAAGTAGTACCTTATTATTTTGTTTAATTAGTAAAACAGCGAGTATGTCAATTTTTCGGTTTCCGATATGTATCCTTATAATTCCGGTTCACAATGTATAGTGGCCTTATTATTATACAGACCCCTAAAATATACCGTTCACACGCATTACACGCACCGTGCCACGTCTATTAATGCTGTGTTATATTTTTCTAAACATACTAATAAATTTTCTTTTAACTGTTCTGTATATACGTTATGCTTTTTAATGTAAATATGTTCATAATTATTTAAGGTCCCATGGAAGACCACTACATATTGGTGAATGGGCTACCCTGACAAAAGATTAGAAATGAATTAAAAAAAAAAATACATAAAAATATGATCGGAGATTAAAAATCAGACTGAACTAAACGGAGTTTATTATACTTATCAAGGTATATAGGTCATTATATTTAATGTTATCAAAGATTATCTAATTTATAGACGTGTAAAAATGTATTTGATAAAATAGGCCATGTCATTTTACCATTTGACTTGGATTTTATTCAGTGATGGTTTACATATTTTTTCCTTTAGATTCCTTGTTGACATATACTTACCATCTATCGAAGCAGATGTCGCACAGAACTTGTCTTCTCTCTCAGCCGTGTGAGTGTATTTTCTCTTTTTACATTTGGTTACTAATGACCGATTTACGATTCATGTATGAACATTTTGTTATGAACATTTCAAATAAAAAGAACCTCGATACATTTTGTTTTAATATTAGAGATAGGTGATTCGTCTGAAGTTTGAAAACAACAGATGATCTAGGTTTTATGATGTTGAATATGTCTTTAAAATTTCTTTTAGACTCACTCTAATTTTTAAAGTTAATGTTACGATGGAACTTTTCTGACTTTCTATCCATAATATCACCCATATCTTACGTTGTGTAGTAAGTATTACATTTTGTTCACGTAACATTTTATTTTAATGCTTTAGTAACACTAACAGAACATATAGTACTGCGAGAGATATCTCTAACTAATTTCGCAGTCGGATATATCAGAAGAAGTTTATTCTAAGGCACAAAATGTTTTGTGCCTTATAATAAACTTCTTCTAGATTAAAATATATGGAGGCTATACCCTTAGAACAAAAATTGTTCTTGGAACGTAATGAAACTTGTTTAAACGTTTAACGTCCTGATGACGCTTTGGAAACATCTTGGGAGCGTCTTGATAATGTCTTGTTTTTGTTGGGTACTCGTTTTGTTTTGTTCGCTCCTCAATTGCAGGAGCTGAAATTATTTTATATATGATTTATTTTCCTATTTTTATTCTTATAGGTCTGCATCTGACAGCAGGATATGTTGTATTGTAGCAAATAAGGAGAATGTCAATTGTACCAGGACAGCTCCTCAAAATCCATTAGACACATGTGGCAGACTCTATCCAAGCCTCCTACTTAGGATCTTTGGATGGATCATAGGTCTTACTGCTTTAATTGGAAACCTCATGGTAATTGCTCAACGATTTCGTCAGGAAAAGAAAATGAATGTTCAAGCTCTCCTGATTATCAATCTAGCCGTGGCTGACTGTCTTATGGGCGTCTACATGATTATCATCACATCAGCGGATGTTCATTTCGGTGCTGCTTTCTTTCTAAGTGCGCCATGGTGGCGCAATTCGAATATCTGCAAAGTGGCGGGTGTTCTGGCGTTCCTGTCAAGTGAACTGTCTGTTCTTATATTAACCTTAATCACCCTTGACCGAATGATCTGCATAGTCTTTCCTTTTGGAAAAAATCGGTTGAGTCTCAAAGTGACCGGTGTTCTTCTGGTCCTTATGTGGGTGGTTGTTTTTGTGGTTGCTCTTGTGCCGTTTGTGCTCGACTCAGACCTGTCTGGCGTGTATGGTCTGTCCGATGTGTGTCTTGGTTTGCCACTAGACGTGGATTCGGGAGAAACTGGCATCCTGCGATTCCTTAGAGAATCGGAAGCGGCTGAAGATTTTGTTGTCGTCTACGAGGCAGTCAGTAGTGACATTCGTCCCTCATGGATATACTCCGTTGTCATCTTCATCGCTATTAACATGGTTTTGTTCATACTTATGTTGGTTTGCTATACATTGATGTTCATACAAGTAAAGAAATCCTCTCAATCTGTTGGAAACACAGAAACGAGAGGAAGAGATATTAAGGTGGCAAGGAAGATGGCGTTCATCGTAGGGACTGATTTTGTCTGCTGGATGCCCATCATAGTTATGGGTATTCTTACACAAACAGGGCTGATTGTCTTGCCTAGTTCATTGTACGCCTGGATTGTCATCTTCATCTTACCAATCAACTCGTCCATAAATCCAATTCTCTATACCTTTATGAATACTAAAGAAAGGAAGCGTAAACCTAAAAAGGATACATCTAACGTACAGGCCAATCCAAAGAACACCAACAATTTAGGAGCCTCTGAAAGCAGTTATAGCTCTGATTACTCTACAAAGAATACTACTGTTTAAAGAAAGTTTTACAAAGGGTATTCAGACGAATTTGACAAAATCATCAAAGCCAACAAGTCTAAAACCGCGTCCTCGAACTCCACCAAGCATTTGCATTAAGCTTCTGGGAGGGCAATCAAATGGCAAAAAAAAGAAGAAAAGAAAGGGAGAAAAAAAAAAACGTTGGAGGGGAAAGAGAGGAAGGCAACTTCGAAATGAAAAAGATTGCTACACCTTTCCCCTTTCACACACAATCTCGCTGGAATGCATTGTTTACATATTTTGTTTTACTCTTTGAGACCCATACCCCTATGAAAACAACGCTCCCTCAATAACTAGACCCATTTTTTTACCTCTAGTGCTAGCTCTTGTATAGGTTGTTTAAAATCATGGGATATTTCTTAATAGTTTTGAAGCCCTGTCCGATCTTGCAGTCTGCTGCAAGTTTAGCACATCAGTCAAACTTTATTAATCACTTTTTTCATGTCTGTTCAATATCGTGCACAGTCTGCCGAGACTGGACCAGGTTATTCTGAAGTTATGCCCTATACCTGTTGTAAGATTCTCGGAGGATACTTGGTATCATGTGAGTTGTTTCGGAGAGTTAGTCTAGCCATTCACCCAGCCAGAAGTCTTGACGGCGAGCTAGCGGTTTTTAGTTGGATATGAACAGAAAAACCGCACTGTGAATATAGTACTCTGAGGTACCTGATGATTGTCAGGGAAAAGATTTCTTCTATGCGGTTTTATGTGATTTCAAGTGCTCGAAATAAAGAGGAATTTGATTTAATTGTATTTGTGTGTTTCAATTCATCCTGCGCTTAACCCGCTTTTAATTTCTGTACGTGTACTAGACATTCTTTTTCTGAAAAGGTATACTCGGGTGCGGGGGGAACAGAGAGCTTGAGCCTAGTCATCGAATGGTTTTGGGGATTCATTGAACTGATTTGTTCCTTAATGCTTGGTGATATTTGCTTTGAAGGGTGCATACCCTGAGTAGGTGTCGAAGTCGAATCACTTGACTGAGAATGCAGTTTCCAGGTCGTAAGTTCAAGCCCCGGTGCGGCACTTTACAGTGCTAAGGTGGTTAATGGGTACCAGGTAAGGTGCGTAGGTCAAAGTTTATCATACCTATATGTTCCCCAAGGAGTGGGGAATTTGCACTGTAATGTGCAAAATGGTCACTGCATCTAGTAAGTGTCCGGGGTAATAAGACTGTAACCGCTTTTGTCACTTGTAACTGGTGAGGCGGTTGGCAAGAGACATTCATTATAATAGTACTTCAATTTGTCTCTATTCCATGGGGATCTTTACTTAAGAATTACAGGCGTGGTCTCTCAAGTTGAAGGAGTCCTTCCAGCAGACCAACAGCCCAAAGAGACTAACAGCCAACGAGTCTGACAAAAAGAGTAAATACAAAAAATAATGTTGTTCTCGTGGGCTGTTTGTCTCGAGGACTATCGGTCTCGTGGACTGTCGGTCCTGGAACCCTAACAAAACAAGTCGTTTAAAGACCCATGAGACCGACGTTGTCGTCGAGTTGAGCAGTAGCCAATTGGGAGGCACAGACTTATAAGGTTTTTGATAAATTGGTTCCTCTTGTAGCATAAAGACGGCTTAATAGCTGATTCCCGCTTCAGTGATATCTTCTATAGGCTTTCTTTTGTCAGAGACATAGAATTAGGGTTAGAATCAAGACATAAGGCCAGGTCTAGGTATATCAGTGATAAGAAGTCGTAAAGCGTTAGACATTTAGCGTCGGGTCGGGTGTCATATAATTTGACAGATTGGCTAAAGAGTTTTATATTAAATCAGCTTTTTCAGACGTAGTACATACATCAAATTATGCCTAGATAGAACTTCTGTTGTTGGAATGAAAATGCTAGTGGGAAATTGTACTGTTTAAACTATCGAATTTAAATATTGAAACGTCTGTTTAAAAGGTGATATGTAGAATCTCTATCCAACCCAGGTATTCAAAATAGATCATGAGTTCCTTTCCTTCTTTCACTAGCGAGACTTTGTATATTGTTGTCGTATTTTTTATATATATTACGTGAACGAATAAAACATTGATAGCTTCTGTGTGTAAAGCATATACTTTATTATCGATTAATGTCTTGTGTACATGTATGTGTCGTTTCAAATGCACAATTTTCATTAGGATTACACCTTATGTCATAATATTCAACAGATATCTTTAGTAATGTACATACATTTCCGTGAAATTTTGACGAGGAAAGAGATTGACACATAAATCTCTCCCATAAAGCACACTGTATAAGTCTACAATTTTATTGAATCATGCCTAACTGTTGCAATACATTTAACTTGGTTATAAGATCATGTAATGCAAATTTTTTGATTGATAATTTTTGTGTAGAAACTGGCGTGTCGTACTTCAAAATGTACATTAAGTCTATAAAAGAGTGCTATATATATATATAATTATAACGCTTGCGTGTTCAACTTCTAAATAATATGATTAGATAATCAAATACTTGTTTGAGTGCACGCTGTTTTATCAATAAGTAAATTAATATTATATTTGTAAATAGCTTATCGATAAACATCCTTATATTTCATGATATATATTATATGTTATATGTTTATATTACGTGGTTGTATCATTTATGCAAATCTTCACTGGATATTCATAAATGGTAAATAAATATGAAACATGGCCGCATGCGTGTCTGCCTACGTACATTTGAGATGGAGGTTCGAATCCCATCTCAGTCCTTTGGCAAGACATTAATCAATATTTTGTTAATCCCTCTCCACCCTTGTGTAAATGGGTACCTGGTAATAATAATTTCCTCATGCAGCTGAAGAGGCTTCCGTGAGTAAATAAAACAAAAACATTATTATTATTATCATTAATATTATCATTAATATCATCATTATCATCTCCGATTCTTCAAGAAATCTTTACCGATATACTTGATCAAAGTTCTGTTCTTGTGTTATACTGAATTAAACTATTAGCTTCCTCCACGTATCATGTTTGGTCATAATTATGCTTTATCTGGGTCTCGAAATAATCATTGTTTGTGTCAAATTAGAGTTAGAGAATGAGAAAGAGAGAGGAAGGAGATGAGAAGAGAAAGAATATACAGAGAGAGAAGGAAAGAGAGAGAGAGACGGGGGAGACGCGAGAGAGTGAGAGAAAAGAGAGAGAGAGAGAGAAAAGAGAGAGAGAGAGAGAGAAGAGAGAGAGGGAGAGAGAGAGAGAGAGAAAGAGAAAAGAAAAGAGAGAGAGAGAGAGGTGATGTGAGAAAAAGAGAGTTGAGGTAGCCAAGGTAGGTAGCAGAAATCTTACCACTTCAGTGAAAACAGATTTTAGAATTGCGATAGGAAAGAGGTTCTCAAATTAAGGTTGCTTTACTCATGGAACCCTACATGTTATCCAATTTGTGATGACTTCACGGTTGAAAGTACACTGTTGCTCATAACGGTGGAATATTTTTTTTTATCCCATTTTATGGAATTATTTTAAAAATAATTTAAAAATACTAGATCTAGATAATAGTATACAGTCTCAGATTTTATTGAATAATAATTTGCCAATATGTGTTTTGCGTGACTGCTAAAGCATGTATATTATGCTACTATGTTTATCAACTAGGGGACCTATGCCCTTAAGTCATAAATGACAGTAATGAGGATTAATGCCTCACAAAAGGGCACTAAATGTAGCACATCGACACGGTGTTGATCCTGGGGCCTCACAGTTACGAGGCCATTGCTTTGTCACTGAACCATGACTGTACGCAGGGGGGGGGGGGGCTAGGGTAGGGGGCAGTTTCCATAAATTTAAAAAAAACACAGAAAATGCAATAAATATTCGAATAATTTATTGCATTTTACCCCGGTCCCCAACATAAAAAAATACTCTGGACGACCATGCATTATGGCTCAAGGCATGGGCACACAGAAGATTTTTTTTATGTTGGGGACCGGGGTAGAATGCAATAAATTATTGAAAATTTATTGCATTTTCTTTTCTTTTTTTAATTTATGGAAACTGCCCCCTACCCTAGCCCCCGCTGCGTACAGTCATGGTTCAGTGACAAAGCAATGGCCTCGTAACTGTGAGGCCCCAGGATCAACACCGTGTCGATGTGCTATATTAGTGCCCTTTTGTGAGGCATTAATCCTCATTACTGTCATTTATGACTTAAGGGCATAGGTCCCCTGGTTGATAAACATAGTAGCATAATATACATGCTTTAGCAGTCACGCAAAACACATATTGGCAAATTATTATTCAATAAAATCTGAGACTGTATACTATCATCTAGATCTAGTATTTTAAAATTATTTTTTAAATAATTGAATAAATTGGGATAAAAAAAAATATTCCACCGTTATGAGCAACAGTGTAGAAGAAATACTCCAAAATGTAAGAAGCATGAAAGGCATAATACAACTTCCAATCTTTTGCATTTTGTTGAAATGCATACCTCACGCACTGTTTATGAGTGAGTAGATAAAAGGCAATATCTAACAACAGGATTTCTCTTAAATCATAACATTTATTTATATATATACAGTTGTACTACTTTATCAATGCAACAAACATTCAATCATGTTAATCATTTGTAAAACTACACTCATCAAATGGTTTTACAAGCTCCAGAAGAAACAAAAAAAGAATATCACAGTGCTTTGACATCGACGAATTCACCCCACCCACCATTAGCACTAAGTTTGCGTGATCAACTACTATGTGTTGGTTGTGACAACGCCGTGTCGTGGAGGATTTTGATCACATCCCGACATGGCAGTTACAGCAGGCGCGCCGGAAGCAGTTTGGGATTGGGGGGGGCAAACATTCCAGGGGGCTCACCTTCCGAGGGCAGTGACGTAATGAGAAAAAACGTTCGGAAGGGGGGGGGGGGCAGACGAAAAATCTGCATCACCACCAGTCTTACACGTTACATGCAGGTCCCGCGGAACGTTTTTCAAAGTGAAGTATTAACGATCAGGTAGAGCGTAAATTGGCGTGGGGTCCAGCCTCGGCAGGGTGTCAAGGGGCTGAGCCCCCGGAAGCTCAGGGATTTTAGGTATTTAATTACGGTTAGATGAGCATCCAGGGGCCTCTTTAAGGCCATTGACGTGTTCCAGAGGGGGGGGGGGAGCCCCCAGAAGCTCAGAGGTTTTAATATTTAACTACGGTCAGATGAGCAACCAGGGGCCGCCCTAGGGCACTTGGTGGGGTCCAGGGGGCAGGGCCCCCGGAAGCTCAGGGGTTTTAGGTATTGAATAATGGTCAGATGAGCATCCAGGGGCCCGCCTTATAGGGCCCTTGGTGGGGTCCAGGGGGAAGAGCCCCCGGAAGCTCAGGGGTTTTAGGTATTTAATAATGGTCAGATGAGCATCCAGGGGCCCGCCTTATAGGGCCCTTGGTGGGGTCCAGGGGGCAGAGCCCCGGAAGCTCAGGGGTTTTAGGTATTTAACTACGGTCAGATGAGCAACCAGGGGCCGCCCTAGGGCACTTGGTGGGGTCCAGGGGGCAGAGCCCCCGGAAGCTCAGGGGTTTTAGGTATTGAATAATGGTCAGATGAGCATCCAGGGGCCCGCCTTATAGGGCCCTTGGTGGGGTCCAGGGGGCAGAGCCCCCGGAAGCTCAGGGGTTTTAGGTATTTAATAATGGTCAGATGAGCATCCAGGGGCCCGCCTTATAGGGCCCTTGGTGGGGTCCAGGGGGCAGAGCCCCGGAAGCTCAGGGGTTTTAGGTATTTAATTACGGTCAGATGAGCATCCAGGGGCCCGCCTTAGAGCCCTTGGTGGGGTCCAGGGGGCAGAGCCCCCGGAAGCTCAGGGGTTTTAGGTATTTAATTACGGTCAGATGAGCATCCAGGGGCCCGCCTTAGGGCCCTTGGTGGGGTCCGGGGGCGGAGCACCCGTAAGCTCTGGGGTTTTAGGCATTTAATTACGGTCAGATGAGCATTTTTTATGCCTTATTTGTGACATTGGCAGGTCACTTATTTTTTCTCTCCGTCTTTCTTTCTTTTTCTCTTTAACATACTTTTTCAAAAAGTGAAGGGGGAGGGGCTCGAGCCCAGCCACTTTGCAGACCATGTCATAAAGGCTTCTAAATAAGCGTATTTTTCGCCCGACTGTAATTTGGGAATTTCTTATTTTCCAACAAACGCATAAAAAGGTATGACTTTAAAAAAAATGGAGAAAAAATACCGGAAAATCATGTCATAACAGCAACATGTGTAAATCACTGGTATCGTATAGATATACCCCCCCCCATCAGTACGCCAGCGTTCAGGGGCTCATGTCTTCTCACCCCTATAACAAAACCAAAAAAACAGACACGTTTTCCCATTCTCGCACAATATGTCCACGATATGCGCGTATCGCTATTATAAACCGTATAGGTAGCATGCGCAATGTTTATAAAAATTTAATTCCTGTGAACTTTCCTTTTCTTTGAATGGAATGGTATATGTGCTTTAATTCAGGTTTTTATTATTGTTATGTTCTTTTGGGTTAAAAATACAAACCATGTTTATTCCTTTACTGCTTTTTTTTTTTTTTTTGGAGGGGGGGGGGGGGGGGCGTTTTGGGGGGGGGGGGCAAAAATGCGTTTTGCCCCCCCCACTTTTTTGACTGGGGGGGGGGGGGGCAACTGCCCCCCTGCCCCCCCACTTCCGGCGCCTATGAGTTACAGGCTCGACGACGTTACGGTTGCGTCATAGCGGAACCTAGCTCATCGTAACAGGGTATACTCTTCTATTCAACGGAGAGGGCGTTCATTTAAGAATGAAAATCTTCGTGTCATTTCCAAAATATTAGTGTACAATTTTTAAAGAAAACCTCGGAAGATGTTAAATGTTGAACAGTCTTAAACATCGAAAACAGTATTCATGCAAGTCAGACACTGAATTAAATTATCATTATAACTGACTCAATCTATCCGGATCCACTAATAAAACACGCTTTTGATAAATGAATAGCCTTTATCTGCTCATGTTCAGACTGTAAATACGAAACGACTAATAGCGGAAAATTATTTCAAACATAATGAATAATAAACATCATAGCTAAAGAAATATTCGTTGTAGAAATTCATAACATTATTGTCATCCATATGATAATACAAGAAACTTTTATATGTATTTTTGTAAAATGTTTTAAATATTTGATTCAAAAACTTTGCACACAATTATTCCTTGTCGGTCTATACACCGTTTTAATATATTAACTAACACAAATTCTGAATGTTTCGCATCCAAACTGTCAAATTCTACAACTATTATGTAAACATCTATTATAATGTATGCCTTAAAATTTGAATACCTTGGAAACCTTATGTGACCCTTAGGATTAATTCGTTCAAATTAATAGCTTGGCGTACTCTCTCTCTGGTAAAAAGATTTGTTTTCTCATTTGGCAATTCCCTCTTCAGAATAGTGCAAATATTCAATCAACATTCGCACTGGTATTAAAGCCCCACTAAATTGTTGGGAGCCCCAATTTTTACCAAATTTTAATGGAATTTTTTAAATTAAATTGTATCATAATATGAAAGAGGATGCCATTAAAAATACATTTCTGAAAAGATTTCCCCCAAAAGTGTGTTTGAAGACAAATATTAATAAAAGAATACATGATTCGGGTTTTCTGTTGTACGCAGAAAGAGTAAATTTTGTTTTAAAAATCCTTGCAGAAATGTGTCTAAATAACATCTTCTTGCAC